AGTTTTTCAAAACAAATTTCTATTTTGAACTGATCTCAAGATCAATATTTTAACTGGAGATGAGATCTGGAGATGAGATCTGGAGATGAGATCTGGAGATGAGATACATTTCTTAAATACCAGATTTCAATCACTTATAAATAAAGTTTGTAAATTATTTACACAAAGTATTTGTTTATAAAATCAATTTTGTGGGTAAATTGTTAAAAGCTCTAGTTTGTCTGCAAACTTTTAAACTTATAAAAAATCTTTATTTTGCAAACCAATTTTTAAATTTTAATCAATTAATCATTATTCGCTCAAAACATAATTGTTAACCTGAAAACCTCTAAATTGGTATATAATATGATGGCTTAAGTGGTGTATGCGCTGAAATTGTAAAATTTAATTTTTTTGCTTTTTTATGCTGTTAGACGCTAGTGATTCTTTTACAAAGAAGCTAAGCTTTTATAATATATATAAATGTTTAACTTCTTTTTAAAAGAATCCATTTTAACCCTATTTTATCCCTTTAGACAGAATTTTGTTAATATTATTTAATCTAGTTGATGAACAATTGGTGCAAACAAAATAATTAACTGCGTTAATTATTTTGTTTTAAAGTCAACTAGATTAAACAACATTGAAACTTGAATGGTCTATGTAAGTGTGGAAACAAGGACATTACACTTAAAATATATACTGATAGATACATAAAAAGATTTTTGCTTGGTAAGGTAAAGAGACTTATACAGTAAAATAAACTCACTTTTGTTAGGGTTTTTGTTACTTTAAACCAACTTTCAACACATGTTACGTTCATATTAACAAAAATTTTATTAAAAAACTCCATGAAATTTTAAACTCAAATGGTTAAAATTTGAGTAATAATAATAAAATAAATAATTATCAACAAATTTTATAATAACCAAGCAGAAAATAAACTTTACATTTATTGCAAACAGAATCAAAACAATTGTTTCCTAACAAATAAAGTTTGAAATCGTAAAACTTCCTGTTTTAATTATTAAAAAAAACACTTTGTGAAAGTGACTTAAAAACATTTGCACTCTGTGAAAGTGACTTAAAAATATTTGCACTCTGTGAAAGTGACTTAAAAACATTTGCACTCTGTGAAAGTGACTTAAAAACATTTGCACTCTGTGAAAGTGACTTAAAAACATTTGCACTCTGTGAAAGTGACTTAAAAGCATATTTTTCTGTAACATGCAGACAAAAAAGTTATAGATATTGATGATACACATTGAACATAAGTTGGTCTCAACTAATTAAATTAATAGACTTTTTTTAATATTTGCTTACATTCCTCGCCACTTTTGACGTATATGACACGTTAAACTCACAAACCTTTATTTTGATTGGACCAACAACCAAAATATTTCTAGAAGGATTCTATAATTTTGAATTTACTTTAAACATTTTGAAGTTTCAAATAATTTCCTCTATAAGTGCTGAGTAAAAAATTTAAATTGAGAAAAATAATTAAAATTTATGACATTTAAGTAGTTAAATTTGGCAATTAGTTAGGCATCTGGAGGACTATTTTTATTGATCTCATGTTAGTAAATTTTTTAATTGTTAATTTGAAACGACAAATTAGGTAACATAAATAATGGGCAAGAAATTTGAAAAAAAAAATTTTTTTTTGAAAAAAGCAAACCTTTTCTTTTCTACAGTTGACTTCACAACATGATTATGTAAGAAACTAATTTGTTTGTCACAATAAATATTAGAAAATTTATTTTGTAATAATTAAACCAGCTTTGCTGATGATCAATTTAACACTAACTGTTAAAGATTAATATTTTGGTGATTATAAATAATTACATTATTTTTAAAGAGACTAACTACTAACACATGTTGTGTTCTTGTTAAAGAAAATGTTGAAAAAAAAACTTTGAGCTAAACTTTTTTGATTAAAACTAAATAATAAATATATATCAACAAAACCTTAAGTTGCCATTATTATAAGTTTTACAAAATATATTCATCATTATTATTACTATTCATTATATATTCACTCAAAACATATATAGATTTTAACACTGAATGCATGACAAAGTTTGATATTTATATTGAAAATAAATATATGTAACAATTTATTTATATAGAAATGGATTAAAAAGTTTAGAAAATAAATATTTTTTTTACTACTACCAGATAATACAAACCCCCCCTTTTTTTTTTAAGTCATTAAACACTTTTTTTTTTTCAAATTTTGAAAATTTGAAATTATTAAATTAGACGCTTAGAAATAAATTTAACAAAAAATTAATTAAAAAAACATAAGAATTTTTAGATTTATTGTCAAAAGTCGAATTGACATTATATACTGAAACTCTAATGAATTAAATGCGCTTGAAATAAATGATCATGTCTGTAGATTGCAGCATATATTATGAAATAGAAAAATGGAAAAGAAATGCTAAAACAACAATTTTGTTATTGATACACATTATTTTGTTTTAATCAAAACAAGTTACGTCAAAGTTTAAAAAAATTTTTTTTTTAATGAAATAAAATAAAAAAACATAACATGTGTTTGGAGTGGGTAGTCCCTTTAAAGTAACAAAGATCCAAACAAAAGAGTTCATTTTATGTAAAAGTTTTTTTAGCTCACTAAGCAAAAATCTTTTTAAATCAATCAATATATATTTGGCTTTAATGTTTCCACACTTGTGTGGTTTGTACAAGTTTCTATGTTGTTTATTTTAACTGACTTTGACCTATTGGTACAAACAAAATAATTAACATAGTTAAACAAATAATTAACGTACTTAATTATTTTATTTGTATCAATCATTTTAAGTCAACTAGATCAAGCAACATTAACATAATTCTGTCTAAAGGTAAGCTAAAATATCTTGTTTTAAAACAAATATTTATAATTGAAGACTATATGCATATTTTTATTTAAAAAAAAACAAATTTAATTTATTAAATGATTTAAAACATATTAAAATTTAATAATTAAAAAACAAAACAAAAACGAATTAATGAATATAAAAAAAATGTGTTTTCCCTTTCTATTTTTATACGGCTTAAACTACGTGACATCATCTTATATTATTACAAATATTTTATTCTTATTATTACAAATATTTTATTGTTGTTGTTCTGTTATTGTCTTCTTGTTGTTGTTGTTCTGTTGTTGTTTTCTTGTTGTTCTGTTGTTGTCTTCTTGTTATTGTTGTTCTGTTGTCTTCTTATTGTTGTTGTTCTGTTGTTGTCTTCTTGTTGTTGTTGTTCTGTCGTTGTCTTCTTGTTGTTGTTGTTGTTCTGTTGTTGTCTTCTTGTTGTTATTCTGTTGTTATCTTCTTGTTGTTGTTGTTCTGTTGTTGTCTTCTTCTTGTTGTTGTTCTGTTGTTGTCTTCTTCTTGTTGTTGTTCTGTTGTTATATTCTATATATGTACATTATCTTTTTTTTTAATTCTTTAAAAAATTTAATTTTATCTATTTTTTTTTACTATTAAGAACTATAGTTGTTATTATTAATTATGCTAGTCTTGTTGCTTTATTATTATTTTTACTATTATTATTGTTATTGTAAAGGGTTATTAAAAGAATAATAATTAGTAATAAAAATGTTTGTATTATTATTTAAACAAACAAGATCTTTCTCTAACATATTTAAGCGATACAAAATGGTACTTTTGATATAACTTAAAATACTTTGCAGGTTATATCAAAAAAAATTTTAAGTGTTGGAAATTTTATAAACTAGTCAATCAAATTTTCAAGTTTATAAACAATAACAAGTTTACAAACTTTTGTAAAAAGATAAGCCAAAAACATGCTAAACTTTTATCTAAAAACTTTTTATATAAATATTTTAGCTATAAAATCAGACAGTGTCAACATAAAAAAGGTGCCTACTCGAACTATCATGAACTTTTGTAATGGGTCATACCACTGCAGCAGAAGAATTGAATTTTTCATTGCAACAAATAAATACAATTGATTATTGTACGGATTGTGAGCTAAACATATATATTTTAAGTTACTTTTACTTAAGTTACTTAAAACAAATCAAAATCTGATATTCTACAAAAAACATACCCACACAGCATTTTTGAGCATTCGATGAACCAGGAACCTTAGAAGTATGTGGTGATACCCTGTTATAATAGGGTTTTTTCATTTATTCAAGTTGCTTTAAAAAAAATTTTTAATAGAAAAATAAACACAAATAAATTTATTTAAAAAAAATACTTAATAACTGAAGCAAACTGTTCACGTGACTGAACTGAATGCATTTGCAACAAGCAGTGCATGTAAACATGGGATGGTTCTCCAGAGATAGAAATAAGTTTATTTTTAACAACGTACACCCATTTACAAGAACGTGGAAATATCTACATGCAAAAAAAAATTAAACCAAAAAACAAATACTAGAAAATTCAAAATAAATTTTATTTCTGTCAGGATATTTTATTACTTAAAAGTTTAACAAAAATCTTTTTTTATCTCTTTATTGAAGTAAAAAACATTAAATGTTATTGCATTTCAAACAAATCAAAAAAAAAAAATTTCTACTTATTTTGTCTACTTTGACAAATTTTTTAATTCGTTTTGTCTACTTTGCAAAATATTGTTGCCTAATCATTTTTGTTTCAGTAATAAAAAGACAATTTAAAAACACATATTTTGAATGACAACAAAATTATAACAAATTTTATACTATAGTAAGGTCAAAATCAAAACTTTTATAAGATAAGTGTTAATAAAAAATGTAGACCAGGATCTTTCAGACCTTGATATTTAAAAGACCTTGACTATTTTTGTTTTATTTTAGACATAAATTGTTTCTTTAGGGTAGATTTTGACCTACTAAATTTCTATCAACATAAAACATGTTATTTATGAATATAACGAAAATATTTATGTATATAAACAGGGGTCAAAATAAGTGCCGGATATCGTTGCCCCTCAAACCATTTTTAAGACCTGCTAGATGAGGGCAACAAACCATTGTTCATTTTTGCAGTAAAAATGAACAATGGTTGGTTGCCCTCATATAGCAGGTCTCAAAAATAGTCTGAGGGGCGGCAATGTCCGGCACTTATTTCGACCCCTGAATATAAATATTATGTGTCAATAAATGACAACATATATGAAGAAGAACTTTTAATATGATTATTTTAAATACTGTGCAACATATTAAGACATAAAAAAGTACTTTTTTTTGAAAAACTAGTGTTAAAAAAAGTTAATAAAACACGAAATAAAAATTAAGGTATTAATCAGAAATTAAATTATTAATCAGAAATAAAAATTAAGATATTAATCAGAAAAATTGATTCTGGAGTACTCTATTTATAATAACACTGATCTATTTTCACAAGTTCTTGGTCTTAACCTTGCTAACTAAGTCCTTAGCTTTGGCTTTGCAACCTATATCTTTGCTTTCATCTCTGTTGACTACCTGATCACTGACTAGACTAGATTTAACTGGTCTTAATTTATATTTAAATAAAATTAGTTCAGATTTAAGAGTGTCTTAAATCTGAACTAATTTTATTTTGTTTAATTTTAAATATCAAAATCAAACATATCACCTTGGCAACCAATACCTTGACAACTTCTTACATGTTTAAATTGAATATTGTTGATACAGTAATTTTTACATCCAGTTTGGCAACTAAAAAGGCAAGTTGATCAATAGTGTTGACTTGATCTGATTGAAGTCACATTTAACATGTTTTTTGTTGATAGAAATTAAAAAGGGTAAAAAAAAGGCCTTTCTAATTTTTTTAAAGAACTAATACCTGAAACATTTCAATATTTTCCAAATCATCTAAGTTTAAGCTATAGATTCCATCTTCAACAGATGCAAATATCAGATAATGATCTAAAAAGATTTTTGATATATTGAAATTTTATTCAAACTTTATATAATACTTACAAACATACATGCATATATACAGAAGATGAAGTAAACACCATTTTGGGTTGGTTGACAGCCTACAAAAACATTCTGTTTAGCTTTGTTTCTCTGACAACCATTCCATGTTTTAGAAATTTTTATTTGAAAACAACTTAAAAAAGGAATAAGAAAGTTCAAATGTAAAAGAATTTTTAGCTATTAAATGATTTTAATTTATCTCATCACAGTTTAGTTTTTTTGTAATTAATGTTTACTATTTGTCTAGTATCGAAAAGAACTAAAAAAAAGAAGCTTTTCTGGTTTAGTATTTTTTGAATTTGTTTTTTTAAACATTTTTTTAAACAAAATTTTAAAAGATTCTGATGATTTAATTCTTTAACTTTTTTTAAATTTTTTTCTGTTAATTGTTTATGGATTATTTTTAGAGTGGGATGTTTGAATTTTGGTGTATTTCATTTCTTTCTGTTTATTATCTTGCTTAAATATCAACTTGTCTTTAAATAGACTTTTTATGATCTTTTTCTATTTTCTCACAATATTGTAGCTGCGGTTATTATATTTTCTCACAATATTGATACTGCAGTTATTATATTTTCTTACAATATTGTTGCTGCAGTTATTATATTTTTTTATTCATTATCACAATACTAGTAAGTTGGACTCTCATCACTCTCATCATATAAGTTCCTATTTTTCTTAACTTAATAAGGTCTAGTGTTTACCTATTAGTTTTATAACCTTATTTGTTTTAGCTTCAAAATAGAACATAGTTATTTTTATTTTTGATACTACCCCTAAGGTCTAGTGTACATTTTCATTGTACACTAGACATTAGGGATTGTCCAAAAATTATGTCACACAAAATTTGACAGTTTTTTACCCCTTCCTCTTTTGTCACCATGTCGTAACAATTTAGTAGAAAGTTCCATATGAGTCGTCACAATACAACTACCCTATCCCCCATGAGCGTAATATAATTTATGGATAGTTTCTCAGCTTATTTTAAAACATTTTTTTTGAATATATGAATTCAATAAAAATATTTAATAAAAGCAAAAGAAGGCATTATTATGACTTAAGTCATTACCAAAGGCTACAAAATGACCAAATGTATAAAAAATGTATTAGTAGATAGGCTTTCATCACTTGCTTATAGAAAAAGGACCTTGGTAAATAAAGGTTTGAACCTAAAACCTTAGATCGAAATATTACAAACTATTTGGCAATTTGGTTACCGCCATAGAAGATCAACCAACTACTTTATTAATGGATAACTTACTTAATAGGAACAGTTAGTGTTAATCTATTCATCTCACATTATTCTGTAGAACAAACTGCAATAGTAAGGTGTAAATGGAAATGAACATAAATAGATAACTAACAATCTTTTGAATAGAAAACAGATTGTCAACTTTCAAAACATATTTAACATATTTCAAAACATATTTAACAATAAAGCTATTAAGTGATTCATTTTTCTCTTAAGTTTAGTAGACACACTCAAGTATTTGAAAGTCATAAATTACTCATTGACATACAAAAATAATATCAATAAAATTATTGACAATAATAACATCACTAATAATATCACTAATAATTACAATAATAATAATGTATGTAGCCCCTACCTATGGCTTCATACATAATTTATATGTGCGTATATATTTCAGTATATACATACATATAAATTCAAGCATAGCTAGTTAACAAATTAAATTTTTCACAAAACATTACTTTTTGTTTCAGGATGAGTCCAACTAGTAGAACAAGTAAAAGTAATAGGACATTCATGGAAAATTTTATTGAAGCAGTTTTTCTATGGGTAAAATAAAAACATATTAACAATATGATTTCAATGAAAAATTCGATTAAAATTTTGAAAAAATCATAAAAATTGAACTTGTAAACATTTTGCCTATGTTTAAAAAACAATAAAAATAACATAAAAATAAACTCAGATAACATAGAAATAAACTTAGAAAGATAACATAGCAATAAACTCAAAAAATAACATAGAATAAACTTAGAAAGATAACATGAAAAAACTTACAGAGGTTTTTGGAGAAAAAACTTGAGAGATAGGCTAAATAAATGAAGAATTAATAAAAATTTTCAAGTTTTTAGATAAAACTCATTTTTTTTTTTTACATTTTTACCTTTCCAAGGCCCAGAAGCTCAAGAAGGATACTTGCTAGTTTTATTTTGTTTTAGTTATTGCTATAGTAACTACAAAACACAAACCCTAAGGAACAATTTACGAAAAAAAAGTTCTAGACAAAGGTATATTTATATTTAAAGATTTAATATTTTTATTTATATTTACTATTTAAATCATAAAATGGTATAAATTATTTGTTGCTTTATAGTTGATAGATTCATAACAGCACAAAACATATTGATCCAAAAGCCCATATTATTTACCAGACTGTTGTTGTAAATTTCAAACTTTTGGTCTTTAAACTACTTAAACCTAATCATCAACTTTTATTGCAAATTATTTTTAATATGTCAAAGTCTTTTTTTATAACCTTTTTAGAACTTTCAATAAAATTTCTGTGCAAATTTCTGTGCTATTTGGAAACAAAAATAAAAAACTCTAGAATTTGTTTACATAAATTGTTTTTAATTGTTGCATTTTAGCTTTTGTGATTTACCAAAAATTAAAAGCTAAATATTTAAAAGTTTTACTCCAAAAGAAATAAATATCTCAAATGAATATATATATATATATATATATATATATATATATATATATATATATATATATATATATATATATATATATTATATATATATACATACATATATATATATATATATATATATATATATATATATATATATATATAAATATATATACATATATAAATATAAAAAATATATAAATATAATATATATATAAAAATATATTATATATATATATATATATATATATATATATATATATATATATATATATATATATATATATATATATATATATATATATATATATTATATCATGGGTTGAAATAGGAGTTGAACATAACCGCCCCTCGGACAATTCTTGACAATATCAATGTTTATAACAATATCAATGTTTATAACAAATATTTTTTAAACAATATCAATGTTTATAACAAATATTTTTTAAACTTTATCAATGTTTATAACAAATATATAAAATCAAACAAAATATTTTGCAATTTGTAAATACAAAGCATATTATACTAAATATTTAAAGGTATTTGATTATATAACTTGAGATTTCAGTTTAAGTTTTTTTTAACTATCTAGACAATAAAATGTTTTTAAGACAATAAACAAAATTATTAAAATTCACAAAAAATTAAATTTCTTAAATAATAAAATAATCTCATTGATTTCTTTTAAGTCAATATTATAAAATCTTCCTCTGTTTGACTGGACCTTAAGAGATTGTACTTTGTACAAAGTACGCATAAGGAGTACCTAACAGTGATCATCTTTGTATGGCCACGGGAATGATATCTTTCTTCCAAATTTTAAGTTTGTAATATTAAATATTTATGTAACTCTATAGAAACTTATTCAACAAAAATTAAAAATATTCCTTTGACATGTTGAACACATCAGCTTTACATTTTGCTTGATTATTAAGTGACTGCAAAAAGACGTTTAACTGTTCAACCAACTCCATCATAAGGACTTTTACCATGAGGTATTGCAAAAAAGTGCCACTCTGCAGTAATCTTAAATCCTTGTTTATGGTAGCATAAGTTGATAAATTTTTTGTAATTTTTATATTGTGATGGAGCTCCATCACTAAAATAGATAATGTGTTCAAATATTTTAAATTTGTTTGTAATTTGTGTTTGTAAGTTTATCAATAAAATTGTTGATAAAGCAATGAACAGCATCTGTTCCATGTTTTAGATGATCTGATATAACAATAACTTTGACTATCCATTTTTTCATCTTTTATAAAATAAACAATAAAGGGGTGCAAAGTTGTATTTCAATGAAAACTTTGCACTCTATCCTGAATGCTTAAAAACTTTAATTTTAAAGTCAAGAAGAACTAAAGCTTGTTTTTCTTTTAAATTAGTTTTTAAATGTTGGAAGTAGGTGGCTTGAACTTTTGATATAAAATGATACTCTCGTAAATTATTTAATTGTTCATAAACGATTTTACCAAATTCATCTAAGCGTAAAGTTGTTGGTGCTAAAATACATTAGAAATTTGATTTTGATCATTGATAAAAATTAACTTTACTAATTTCATTTTCACTAAACAAAATATCAATGTAATCTGACAAAACCTCTTTTCCAGGACATTAATCATAGTTATGCAGCATACAGTCTCTATTTCTAATGTTACAAACCATTAATTTCAATAAGCTTTTGAAATCAGCAGTTCCAGGAATTTTCTCTACAAGAAGCTTTACATTTTGATGGTACTAGCAAACACAAATGGTACTTAGCAAACACAAACTTGGTACTTAGCAAACACAACTGCACTGGTACTTAGCAAACACAAACTGCATGCAGACCAGAAGCACCACCCACAAGAATGCACAATTTAGGCCTTAGCTCACAAAATTTTGAAAATCCAACTTTGGATAATATGTTTTTTTTAACTCATATGAAGTTCTTTCACTTAAAGTTTTGTTGATTTTTTTGGATGTGTTGCTTTATATCATTTACTTTAACTGACAAATTCTTCCTTCCTGGACAAAACCTTGAATATTCATCACATTGATAAAACTGAACAACCTCTGTAATTACATTTTTTGATAATACTCCACTTTCTTAATTTTCTGGCTTTTATTACAGATCTTTTTGAAGTCAAAAAATACTTCTGAGTTTTTTCTATTGACCAACTGCAAAGAGTGTAAGAAATGTGATTTTTTCGGATTTTGACCATGTTTTGTCAAATTTTGACTTAATTTGAATCATAATATTGACTTTCTTTGTTTTATTCAAATGTTTGTTTGAAGCAGATTCAATTTCATCAAGTTCTGCTACTAAACCTAGCACATTGGCAACAGCCTTTTGTATAAGAGTTTTTACAGTATCAATTTTACCCTTTCCATATGGAACTCTATCTTTTTATGAAACAAGTTTTTGAAAAAAAAAAGCATTAAAAACTTGCAATAAGTTAAATTAACTTGCAATAACTTTAATTAAGATTTTAATGTTAGGTTGTCAACATAAATATCTTTTTCTTCAAGTTTCTTTTGTAGCATGTTTCTAATGCAGGGTTTTTCTGCATTTTTATTGACCAGGAATTAAACCAAAATCTTTGGAATATGAAAGACTAATAACTCTAAGAGAATCCACAAAGTAAAAAATAATAACTATTAAATATTATTTAACATTGATTTATTACCAAAGGTAATTGTATTAAATTAAAGGTATTAATTTAAATATAAAGAAACTTTTTCCTTCTTTTACATACTTTTTGAAAGGATTACAACAATACCTTAATTAATACCTTAAACAATACCTGTTAATTCTCATACTAAGTAAACTTTCTCATAATAGTTACAAACAAAATCTATAGGATATACAATACCTGTTAACTCTCATACTAAATAAATTTTCTCATAATAGTTACAAACAAAATCTATAGGATATACAATACCTGTTAATTCTCATACTAAGTAAACTTTCTCATAGTAGCTACAAACAAAATCTATAGGATATACAATACCTGTTAATTCTCATACTAAGTAAACTTTCTCATAATAGTTACAAACAAAATCTATAGGATATACAATACCTGTTAATTCTCATACTAAGTAAACTTTCTCATAATAGTTAAAAACAAAATCTATAGGATATACTTTGTTTCTCAAAGAAAGAAGCTCTTGGTTTAGTTTAGACAGTTCTTAAAAACGCTTACTTTTTTTTAGACTTGTTAAACTTAATAAAATAGCACATTCATTTAATGCTTTACCCATACAACAAGGAGAGAACTTAGGCATACTACTTACTATCAATCCCAATATCTTCCATGCACATGAAAGATGATGATGGTCAATTAGAAAAATTCTGTGTAAATTTTGGCACTTTCTGATGAAAGACTTTCAAGATAAACACAGTTTATCAACTTACCCCTGCTGCCAACTAGCCCCGGTCTCTCCTAATACTTATTTATTCATAAACTTAGGGATGGCACTTTTACTTACTTTTTTTTTACTTACACGAGTAAGTAAATTTTTTTGAAAAAGTTTATTATGTAAGTAATTGTCACCGTTCAAATTGAATTTACATTTACAAAAAAGTGATTAATTTTTAAGAAACGACTTTTACTTTATAAAGTAAGTTTTTTTACTTTCAAAAGTATTTTAAGTAAAAACAGATTACATCAAAAAGTAATTTACTTTTACAAGTAAAAGTAAGTCTCATAAAAAAGCAATTTACTTTTACATAAAAATATTAACTACTTTTTCAAATTACATTACATAATTTAATAGTTCCTCAAAATGCAATTTACATTTACATATAAAAATAATATATAAAAAAAAATAATTTATTACCGTAATTGTAAAAAAAACTTTTATATGAAAAAGAATTACTTAAAAGTAATAGGTGACTAAATATAAATAAAATTTACTTATAAAATAATATTATATAATTGTCATTTTTCATTATATAAGTAAAAAAAGATTGTTGTAAAAAATAAATTATATAAAAAAAAAATTCTATTACATAAGCTTATATTTTATATAATTTTTAAAGTAAACTAAAAAAAAATTATATTTTTTAAGTAAATTTACTTATATTCTAAAATAAATTAAAGAGGATATTGCGCAACCGAGTGAAATGCAAAAAGTACAACTTGCATCTAACATGTAACTAACATTTAGTTTTTGGCGACATTTTTTGTGAGCAGTAATTTGGCTTTTTTTTCCCTTGTAAATTTTGCTGTATTAGTATTTGGTTTATAGGCATCAAAATGCTGCCAATTAAAACCATTCTTACTCCTGGTCCATGACTATATTGGGCAGTAATAGACTATGTGGTGGTGGGTAGGTTTAGACGACAGCCATATTCAAAAAGACCGTTTTTTTTAATTCTTAAATCACTTTAGATGTTGTAGCACTCAAAAAAACAGAAACTACTTTAAAAATAACCTCGGGCAACAAATATCTTAATCCGGTTATGGTTTTAGCTATTAAAACTATTCTTAGAGCTAAGCCGTATTACAAACTTTCTTGAGTGAAGATGATGTTGATAAAAAATATTGTTTTGAAAATGAAGATGAGGCTTACGATTTTGGTCTCCGTCAAAATTTGGCAGCGGCAATACAGCGCATATACCCTGGTAGATGCAGAATGGGTGGAAAGGCATAACGAAGAGAGAATAGGTGTCGCGATATAGTAGAAAACGTCAATAGGACGCGATATAGTAGAAAACGTCAATAGGATGGAGTCTTTAATAACATTGCTGGATTAAGGTGTGGCTAGAGTGGTTATAGCCCTGGGTCCCGCACTTTTAGGAGACCCAAAAATTTTAAGAGGACTGTTTTTTTAAATTCAGTTTTAAGCTGTGGTACATAAAACAATCCACTTGCTTAAATAGCCCCGGAAAAATCTCAGTCAGCCAATAAGGTTGAGGGCTAACAAGTTTATTATACACTTGCAAAAACTGAATAATAATCGCCAATTATGAATTTTTTTACGGCTAAACGAATGCGTCAAGATGACACTAAACCTAAGGTATAACGCAGTTGTGGGTTTTAAGTATATTAGAAAATAAAAAATATACTAAAATATTAGCCATCTGTTCCTCAAATGTGAGGGACAAAATCAATTTCCATTTTCATATTCATGAAAGTTTTGCGACAGGTTTTATAACGCTTATCATTTAGAGTTCAACATTTATGATTAAGTTTGAATGTATGAATAAAGTTTACATCCTTTCCAAAATGAGGAAGTTGTTTAAATTTTTTTGAAATAAGCATGAAGACACTTTCGCACTTACTTTTGGTTTCGTCCGCAGAGGACGTTATGCAAAAGAGAGAGTGATGGGGTATGGTATCATGTATGGTATAATATCAGAAGCCATTATTGATAATTTTATAGAATGCAAAACCGTTACAGTTACTAGATTTTTCCGCTAATTAGATTATTATTAAATTTGCTTTATGAGAGACGCATCAATTTTCAGTGGGATTAAATGTTTGAAGGCTCTGAAAAATAATATGACTAGTAATTAAAAAAATACTTATAAAAAAGAAATGTTGCAATATACATCAAAAACATTAAAATAAACCTAGTGATTCTAAAGTTGTTATAAAAATACAATGGAAAAGCAAAAAGACTTTATTAAAAAGGTATTAAAAAAATAATTGATAAAATAAACTATAGTTTAGTTCATTTAATAGCCTATAAGCAGCTGTTGCGGTTTTCAAAAGGTCTAATTTTTTTTTGAGGTTTAAATTAGTTTCAAAAGAGTGAAAACCTAATTTTTCATTTGTTTTAAAAGACTATTTTAAATCGTCTATTGTCATCGTCCTTCTTTAAGATCTTTAAGTCAGCATAGAAGCATCATAAGTCAGCAATAGAAGCATCATTGAAGCAATATAAGCTATTGAAAAGACACCATTGTAGCCACATAAACTACTGATGGCGGACAGTCTACTGCCCATCTTCACGTTAAATTTTTAAGAAAATTCTTAAAAAAATAACAAATTATTTTGAAGGCACTATTTTATTTGAATATGTTAGAGTATTACTTGGGTGGCTTGGCCACCAAAGCAACTGAAAAGAAGGCTGTTGCCAATAACCTTCTTTTCAGTAACTTAGGTCCCCAAGTATTAATAAAAGCTGTGTGCTCCATAATTTGTGGTGCACAAATCTTTTAGTCTATGATTAACCGGCTTTCCTTGCCCTTAACAGATATCGTTTTAAAGCATTTAGTTTATCCCCCCCCCCCTCCCATACCAAATAAATAATGCATAATAAATATTTGATCATAAAGGTTAAAGGTTTACCACGAAATGGGTGAGTTTTGCGACATCGGTTAGAAAAGAGGCGCGATGTTAAATGCTTTTACACGGGGTTCTGTACCGTACAGACTTCTTGAGGGCACTTTAAAAATAATTTTAAGAGTAACAAAAAAATTAAAACTATGCCCTCCCCTGACCACATTTAAATGTTTAATTAGGATCAATAATCTACTTTAGGTCTAGAGGAAAAAATAATTTTGCTCCTTATAGCTCAAGGGCCCTCGCTGTCGCTGTCTTACTTTTACAAATCCATCATAATAACTATATTAGCCCCTACTTGTATAATTTGTAATGCCCCGCCGCAAAAACGGCCCACATACATCTGAATAATTCCAAGTAGTAAAACCCAGATGTACCCATCAACTAATGCTTTTTAATAAACTACCTACCTTAAAAAAATGTTGTAAAATGGCTTTGTTTTTTGAAGAAGTAAATAATATAGTTTACATTTTGCTTACTTACTAAGTAAAATAAGTATTTGAAAAAAAAAACATTACTTTTATTTTTAATAGTAAATTTTTTTTTTTCAAATTACTTTTATGTAAGTTGCTTTTGCTAATTAGTTACTTTTACACATGTAAGTAATTTATTTTTATGATGTACTTTTATTTTACTTTTAAAAGTAAGTGTTACATTTTTCAAACATTTACATAACGTTATCTCAGAAAAGAACTTTTTTACAAATAAAAAATAAATTACTTTTCAATGTAAGTTTCACAAGTAAGTAAAATCGAAATTACTTTTCAAAGTAAATTACTTTTTAATGACTTACCTGAAAAAGTAATTTACTTTTTGAAGAAAAAGTAAACGACTTTTAAAGTAATTTATTTTTACTTGTAAAAATAAATTACTTTTTCAAGTAACAGTTACGAATTTAAGTAATTAAATTTATGTAATTAAGTTTTACTTGCAATAAAATTTATGTAATAAAAAAAAAAATTACTTTTAAATGTAAGTGAATTATATACTTTAATATGAGTTATGTAAGTAGTTTACGCTTAAAAGTAAACTGTGTTTTTACATTAAAATAAGTAAAAGTGCCATCCCTAATAAACTATAAGATTTATTTTTTTTTTTTAATTTTTTTAAACATTTCAGTTTACATTTGTTAGTTTGTTTTTACAATATAACAAGAGTTATATTGGTTTGTTTGAGCAATTTAATTGGACATACAAATATTATAAAACTTAATGTAACAATATTAAAAAAAAAAAAATAATAATAATTTTATGAAAAAACTTTTACATTTTTGATCTTCCTGACAATCTTACATCTAAAGTGCCTCTATTTGCTGATGACTCAACTTTATATTCATGCCTTGACAAAAAGTCTTCTTTTTTCAATAGCTTAGAACAGGCAGTCGATCTCGAATCTGATCTCTTTTCTTAATTAGCGTAAGGCTTGCAGTGGCTTGTGGACTTCAACTCAAACGAAACTCAAGTATTTACAATGGTGAAATTCCCTATATTGATGAATGGCAACCCTCTCAATGAACCCTCAACTCAGTCTTCCTTTAAAGCCTATAGTTTAAGGATTATATTAGTATGTAATATTGAATAATATTGGTTAATGTTTCAAGAACAAAAGCATTTTCCTTTAAACACTACGATGGGGCAGGTTGTTCCAATTCAAATAGGATAATATGTAAAAACCAATCCTTAACAATTTTTTTTCTAATTAGCTTGTTTTCATTTCCGATAATAAAATTTTGTGTTTTGAAATGTTTTAAAAATAAAACAAACAAACTTGGGTTATTAAAAAACCAAATACTTTATGCTTTTTGTAATATTTAGAAGGTCCACATACTAAATTTTAACACACATCAAATTTCAATTATGGTTTTTTTTTATTATAAAAAAAAAAAAATTAAACATAATAATGCCAAAAAAAAATTAGAAAAAATTATGTTTACTCCTTTTTTATACCCCTAGGCCAACATATCCTGATGGCAGGGCAAGTAAGCTCATCAGACATAACTGATTATGAACATTTAATAATGTTGTTATGGGTCTTGTCAATTTTTTTCCATAAAAAAAAAAACAAAAAAAAAAAAAAACAAAAGCTAAAAAGTTACACACAAAAAAAAAAAAAAAAAAAAAAAAAACGGTTTACCCGATTATTAATACTCAATAAATAAACAAAAACATCAAAAATATTTTAATTATACATATATATATATATATATATATATATATATATATATATATATATATATATATATATATATATATATATATATATATATATATATATATATATATATATATATATATATATATATATATATATAATTTAAACTTTTCTAAACATTAAAAAAGTTTGAATGATAAACTTTTAATACAAAATATATTAAAAAAAAAAAAAAGATTCACTTACTCTTTCATGTGCAGGTATTCTGGGTGGTAAAGGAGGGGGAACAAGGAGATTTTCACTTGTAGCCAGTAATGCTGATTCACTTTGCTTTGGTTTCAATGGGATTGGAGGTGGTTTAGAATCTGTTTCCTTTATCTAAAATGTTGTAAAATTTAAAAATTTACATTAATTTTACATTGAAATTAATGTAAAAAATAGTTTTATAAAAACAATGTTAATATTGCATAATGTATTTGTCAAAAAAAAAAGATTATTTATAAAAAAACTTGTAAAAATGTCATTTTTTGTTTTTAGTTACAAAATGTAATTTTTTAGCAGTTTTTTATATCTAAAATAATTTTTTTATAAAACAATTATTGCTTTTGAAACTTTTGTTTAACTATAAGTTAAAATCTAATGCTAAGGTTTTAACTCAGAAATTAGGTCCAAGTGACTAGGTTCTAGGTTCAAGAGACTTTTGAAAAATCTTTAACAATGTCATTAGCAAAAGCAAATCTAGCATCGCATCTCTCATACATAGGTCTGATCTTATTACCTCTTCCAACAATAAAGAACTGTTGCCAAGAATTTTTCCACTAATTTATCTTTTGAATCTTATGACCAAACCTTTCCTGTTCTAAAGAAACATGATAGTCCATTGTTATATTTCATTGTAAAACATTCAAGTCATTCCAGCTTCTGTTCAAGTCAGAAAGTTCCCACTTTAATTTCTAAAGTTATTTCTCACTTAAACGCTTGGCACAGACTTGCGGTCTGTACAACATTCCTGTCACAGTCTTACAAAAGAACTCTTTTCACTAATCTTTAAGCCACTTAACAAGTCCTTAACTGAATCTTGTTTTTACTTCTGCTTAAAAATGGCATCTATTGTTCATTTATCTATTGTTTTTAAAAACTCTTGAAGTCTATCCGATTTATCTAACCCAATCAGTTGTCTTAGTATTATTAGCTAAGTCTTTTAATTAGCTAAGTCTTTAATTAACAAACTTCAAATATCTTTTTAATTCTAACAACTTATTCTTTGAAAACAAATACAGATTAGCATCCTTTTGTTCTATTTCTGAATTGTGAACAAAAAGGTTCTTGTATTAGATGGAAGTAGTTAGGCAAAAACAATTGTATTCTTGACTAGGGTTGGGAATACCGGGATCCCAGTATTTGGAACAATTTATAGTTGCCGAAATACTGGTATTAAAAAAGTCGAATACAATTTTTTCTGTATTCAAAATAATTTCACCGTTCGAAATAATTTTACCATTCGAAAGCTTAAAAAGTTTAAAATTTTAATTGATCTTATAAATGGAAACAAAATTGATTGTACAAAATTGATTGTACAAAATTAAATGTGGGTATATGATATTGGTTATTTCTAGTAAAATTAAAATATTATTTGAAATTCTAAACAGTAAGTTAAATTATACATTATAAATTATACATTTTATTATTGTGTTTTGAACTTTTAGAAAATTTGTATTTTACACCAAAATGAATATTCAAGATTTTGAGGAGCATTCCAAAACAAATGATAAAAATTCACCATGGTTTCATTTTGTAAGTGAAAAAACAGGACAGTGTGCTAAATGCAAATTGTGTAAGAGAATAATAAAAATACATGGAGGTTCTACAAGCGGACTTCATACCTTTTGGAAGAATTCCCGCAGGAAAATGTGTTGAGCTTGTCAATGATAGGTCAGATAATTTTAAGCTTTCAATCAAGAATATTGTAGGTATTACCACTGATGGCACTGCAGTTATGACAAAGGTAGGCAGGTTAATTGAAGCACATCAGCAGCTATGTTTAGCGCATGAAATTCAATTGGCTGTTAACAGCATATCAGTTACCATTAATTAAAAAAGTTCGAATAGTGGTCAAAATATTTTGTTCTTTGCCTACAAAAAATGGCAAAATCCTACAAAAATATGTAAAAGAAGAGTTCGGTAAAGAATCGCTCTGGTTTTAGACTCAAAAACATGATGGAATAGTTTGGTATTTATGATAAAGAACATTTTGGCAAATTAAAAAATTGCATCAAAAAGAGTCTAATAAATTTAAAATCACCTATTTTGTTTTCAGATGCAGAGTTTGAAATGTTGTCAAAGATCCTTTCAGTTTTACTTCCTATTAACATAGATTATCCAGACCATATTTTAAAAATCCGGAAAATTGTTTGGGTAAAAAATCTGGAAAAAATTTGAAATATATTTTCCTCTTAATTTTGCTTTAAACTGAATTTTTTCTAATTTTTTTCAAACTTTTCTTAGTTTTGTATGAGTGATGAGTGAAAAAAACTTAAAAAGAAAAATATTACAAAAATATACACCTAAACTTGTATGTATGGAAAATGTTTTGGATATCCGGAAAAACTTAAAGTTTAGAAAAATATCCAGAATTCCAGAATAATCCTTTAAAAGATAATCCCTGTATTAAGCTTGCAGTTGAAGCAATCTGCCGACAAGATGCAACTTTGTTATCTGCAGATGCTGCTATTCAATTTATGATGAAATCAATAAATGGCCATCCAAGTTCATTAAGTTAAGAATTGAAAGCAGCTTTAAAAGTATGTATTCTTGAAAGACGAACTAAAATTTCAAGTGTTTTGTAATAATAAAATTATAAATTATTTCCGATCATTACCAAAGCTGCAATCGCAAAAGTTATTGTTTTACAGATACAATGTCTGGGTGTGGCCTAACTTACATTATGAAGCTGCACCTAACTTGGATTAAAGCTGGCCACACCCAGCCAACAAGCTGCACCTGTAGCAACAACATCTACTTCAGCCAACATTACAAATTCAGACACAAATATAATATTCAATGTCGATGATGATGAAGTTGATCAAAGAAATGAAATTTCTCTGACTTTAAAAGAAAAGTTGGAGATGGCAATATCAAAAAAAATTTGCACCAGATTACCTGAGAGTGGAATCGACCAAAATAAAAGATCACATGCTCACATGCTCAATAAAAAATAAATTTCTTTTTTTATTGAGACATTTCTTGAGACAAATGGCATAAGGGGCAAATACTAAACTTTAATATATAATTATTTGCTAAGTATTCAACCAACCAGTGTAGAATCAGAGAGAGCTTTTTCAGTAGCTGGCTTAATCTGCACCAAAATTCGGTCAAGGACGGGAGATAATTTGCTTAACAATCTATGTTTTCTGAGGTCTTATATCAACAACCAACTGCAGAAAAAGTAGAACCTTAAAAATTTATGTTTTCTTCCTTTTCTTATGATTAATATATAACTAACATTTTACTAAATTTTTTTTTTCTTTTTTTCTTTCTTTAAATAGTCAATATAGTTTTTTTAATTGCCAAACCATTTTTTAATTATATTATTTATTCATTTGTATTATTATAGGAAAAATAATAATACTGGTATTAATACTGGAATCCCAGGATTAGAAATTTTCAATACAGAAATACCGGTATTTGATTTTTAGTCCAGTATTCCCAACCCTATTCTTGACATCTTCACAAAGCCTTTTGATAAAATCAGGCATGCTAGTCTTTTCCATATATATGAAGATTGCTGCCCCATACCAAACTCTCACTAGATGTAACCGTACTACCTTGTGACAGCAGACTATAAGATAGCCAATTTATTTACTGAAGCCCCTAGTAGCAGCCAATTTCAGTATGATGTCACACTGCTTATTTAAACATGCATTTATAGTTGTATACATACATATGTATATATATATATATATATATATATATATATATATATATATATATATATTTATATATATATACATATATATATATATATATATATATATATATATATATATATTTTTTTTTTTGAACATCTTCGCTTGCAGCAAGACTGCAAGCAACCACTAATTAAAGTTGGAAGTTACTGGAAGAGAAGAGATGAAGATTACAGAGCAAGATAACGATTGACAGACAACTTAGAAGATTGCAAATTATATGAATCAGGAAAGCAAGATGCTCTTTAGAGCAGTGCCCATTATAGTATTTGTAGAAAAGAAAAAGAGTAGTGACATTACGACAATGTAATAATGGTTGAAGGTTGGCTGCAAGGTCCAACTATGTTTACAATGTATTTTTGTACCTTGTCTAAAAGAGGAAGGGTATCATTAGAAGATCCGCCCCAGATATGGTAACAGTATTCCATACAAGGCCGGATTTGAGATTTATAGAGATAGAGAATAGAATGCAGAGCAAGAAAGTTTTGAGCTCGGTAAAGAGATTCAACTATAGCAGATGCTAATTTTGCAATGGATTTGATATATGGTTTCCAAGAAAGATATGAAGCAAGAGTTAATCCTAGAAGATGAAGGGTAGATGATTCATCGAGTACATTACCATTCATAAATATAGGAAGGTCTAAATTATTGTGATAACGATTGGCTGAAAAAAACTGAGTTTTATCTGAATTAAAGTTCACCATCTCCAAGTGAGATCCTTTTCAAGTTCAAATACCCCCTCCAAACAATCAGAGAATGTTGGCTTTTTATCATGACAAGAATAAATGGTAGTATCATCAGCGAACAACGCCACTTTAGGTGTGAGAATATCTGGAAGATCATTAATGTAAATTAAAAAGAATATAGGGCCAAGGATTGAACCTTGAGGAACCCCTGAGGTTACAGAATAAGAAGAAGAGTGCTGTCCATCAAGGACAACTTTTATACTACAATTGGAAAGGAAGGATAAAATAATCTTGAGGATGTTTCCAGATAAACTGTAAGAAAAAAGCTTATGGAGAAGACCAGAATGCCAAACTTTATCAAACGCTTTAGAAATGTCAAGAGCGATGGCCTTAACCTATCCACCTTTATCTAATGCACAATAAAACCTATCGGTAATTACTGTTAACAAATCAGCTGTAGAACAAGAAGATCAAAATCTATATTGATGATCATAAAGTTAGTTATTAGATTCAAGATGAGAGATTAAGTGTTTGTTAATTAAAGATTCAAAAACCTTGCTTATGATAGGAAGAAGACTAATGGGACGGTAGTTGGACGAATCAAATCGCTCTCCAGAATTTTTAAAAATAGGGATAACAGATGCTACTTTCCAGCAGGCTGGAAAACAAGACTCTGATAAGCACTTGTTGAATAGTTTTGAAAGCATAGACGACAGCTCCGGAGAACACTTCTGCAAGACTATAACAGGTATGTTGTCCGGGCCACAAGCTGTAGAAGAGTCTAAGCAGGAAATCACTTTAACTACAGAAGCTGGAGTGATGCGAATGTCAAGCAATATCACTGTTGTAAAAAAGAACAAAAAACTACTTTGATATGACCCAACATTTACTGACAGGGTGAACCTACACTGTTTCCTGACTCAAAAATGACACAAAAATGTAAAATTTGAAATTTAACCATTTTGTTCAAAGAAATAAACTGCATTATCATTTTTTAGCATTTTGCATAATAGAGCAAAATTACAACTTTTCAAATTTTTCATTTTTAAAGCATTCAAAAAGTAAATTTATTACTTTAAAACATTTAGTTTTCAAGTATAAACAAAGTTTTAACTCAAATAAAAAATTTTGTCATAAAATTTCATAAATGCATTGAATCAAAAATACTTTTAAAGTGCTAAACAAACCATATTAGCTGAAAAATTCATGGAATCAACAATCCATGTGTTTAGATTATGTTTTTGAAATGTGTTAAAAGATTTATTGAAAATGACAAATTTTCCATAAAATCATGAAGATTGTGGGAAATCTATTTGTGCTTTGTGCCTGAAGAAGTACTCTCATAAGTTGACACAAACTTTAAAAACATTACCATATGAATCTTGATTTGAGTGATACCAGCATGCCAAGAGGCATCTCTGACACATGTCGAACAACCTTTTGGAGAAAAAGCAAAGGAAAAGATGTTATTCTGCTATCTTTGTTTGCTTTCTTATTTTTAAAAGTCGAACTAGGTCAAGGCTGCAACTGTCTCTGCCATGTAGGACATTTAAAGCTGAATGAGAAGAGCCCTGAGGACTTCTAAACCTGAGGAAGACTGCACTCACCAATGACGTGGTGATTTTTTCGAGTCTTGTCAAAAGAGGTCTTTCACATGAGTAGACTCAATTCCCCATTAGGGAGAATCTCAAGCAGATACCTACAACAGATACACTTAATGTAAAGCAAATAGCAACTCGAGTCATCTCAATAAAAGATGCAACTCCTGTAGGAACTCTCAAATTATCACATCCAAAAGGTGGTGCATCTTTTAAAGTTAAAACAAGTAATACTACTTGAGCTTCTTAAACATTTAACATACATGTTTAGGAGGCTCAAGTGCCAGAAAATCTAATATCAAAACTGAAGATCTTTTACTAGTTCACTTAAACACAGAACTGGGAAACCATAAAGAAATTGGCCATCAACAGAGTCAGTGACACTAAAATTGTGGAGACAAATTTTCTAGCTAATTTTGAAGTCATTAGCACACAGTGGTCTGAGTTTTTTTATTCAAACCAGCATCCAAGATTTATCAGAGAATAGCAGCCACTCCACTGATTATGAGGTTATGCATTGCATTGCAAAGATCTACTGAACAAAGTCTTTTTTTCTCAAATAGTTTTCCAGAACCATATAGTCAAGTTGGGAATTAATGGGGTAACGGGTTTTTGAAAGTCTATTTTTGGCATCATTGAGCTAGATTCTCATCATTGAGCTGTGATTCAAGGTCACCAAAAAACTCTTAAGTAAAAGGATTGATAAAGACACCAATGTCAAGCACCAAATGCTTGATGCTATTTCAGAAAACTTTGAAAATGTGAGGTAGATCTAGTCCTTACTTAATTTAAACAAAGTCAACTTTGTTGTTTATGTGACATGAAAGTTGCCAACATCATTTTTAGACTTCAGAGCTATGCAAATACTCACCCTTGCTTATGGTACAACAGAATCAAAGCATCTCTCAGAATCAGGTTTTAAAACACTAAACTTTGAGAACATTAGGCTCACTTGTTGCAAGTTACCAAGAGTTTGCTCTGGCAGTGATATCAAGAAGCCAAATTTTAGCAATGTAGCCCATGTCTGAATCTGAAAATAAACTCATCTCGGAGCTTATGCAAACCATGGAACTTCATCTTCTCCTTGGTATGGTCAACCACATGTACAAAGCCTAGACAGAAGTGTGACCCAATGCTTTTAAGTGGCCCTCAGCTCACCACATTCAACAAGAAAACATCACAGTGGGCAGTTTGCAGGAAATACATGTCACAAGCTTTTCAGCAATTTAGACCTCCTTCAAAGGATAGCAAAGTCTTAGACTGCTTTTTAAGTGTTTGGAATAATTGGGATGTCTTTCAAAAACTTCATTTTGTGGTTGCAGCATATTTTGGTATGATTCAAGAGAATGACTTTGTCAAAAAAAAATTATTCACTTTAGAGACTTGTATTCGGCAGCTACGAACATCATTAGGATCCAAAAGTTTAATTACTTCAGATCATTGAGATCAAAAGGGCTCCGTTAGACAGCGACAAATTTTTAAAGGTAGAGAATGGAATCAGGAGTAAGAAAATGGCAAGCATGATAAAGCGAAGCAACCTTAACAGATGCTTATTTTGCAATTGATCCTATATATGGTTTCCATGAAAGGTCAGTAGTGAATAATAATCCAAGAAAACATAAAGTAGAGGACTCAGTGAGAGGGTTTGCAGTAAATACCTGAGTTCTGTAGGAGTCTAATTTATGAGCCACTGCAGGACCCAAGCTCTTACAGAAGAGAGATCAAATTCAAGACGGGCTGCTTGCCCTAAGCAAACAAAAAGGAAGACATATTTTCAAGACAGGATTATAAAGTTGAGTCTTCAGCAAATAGAACTTAAGATTGCCAGGAAGATCATTAATATAGATAAGAAACAGAACCATGGATAGAACCTAGAGGTATCTTTTGTATCCCAGAAGTTACTGGAAATAAAGCAATGTGATGGCCTTTGAGGATGACTTTAATAAAGCGGATAATTAAAACTGTCAGTGTGTTCTCCATAGTTTCTAAAAATTGGAATGCCAGTTAAAAAGTTTCATCACATTCAAAAGTTTTATCACTGTGTATTTAACTGTGTAACAAAATTAAATTACTTAAGAAATAATAAGAAACTTAAGTGTAAACTGAAAACGAACCTCATTTATTGCACTAACTTTTCTGGGAAGAAGCTTTGGAACATTAAAAGATGCATGTGGTAACATTGGTTGATTAGGATCTTGTTTTATAGTAGAATCTCTAAAAATAATTAAATGAAAATAAAAAAATGTCAAAAACATAATCAGTCAAAATGAAATCATCTTATTTTAAAATATATTAAAAACAATGTTAATTGTAAAATTAATTTAAACAATAACTTAAAAACAACTTCATGTTTAAAATAATAAATGCATTTTTTATAATAACATAATAGGTGCAATATTATTTTAAAGTAATGCATTATTTGGTGAGCAATTAATGGCATACTGAAATAGGAGACTGCCAGGAGTTTCAGTACATACATCAACCAACTAAACAGGCAAGGAGTGTCTCTACATCAACTTATATATATCAGCTCTTGGAATTAGAAAAAATGAGGTCATTCAGTATATGATAACTCTATTTCCCAGGTGAATATGTGAATATGATAAATGTAGATTGATTGTAATAAGCTCTAGCAAAATGACAAAAATATTTTAAATTTTTAAAAATAATATTATTAATTTTAAGAAATGCAAAAGTGGTTAGTTTTATTTTGACTTTTTTTTTTTCAATAAATACTTTTGATGGAGGGTCTGAATTGATCAACTAGTATATATTTTGAAATTTATTTTCTATATATTTGCACCAATATTAGCAAGATGCATACTTTGGTTTTGAAAACCTCCTCAAACAGAATCAATCTAATATATATATATATATATATATATATTATATATATATATATATATATATATATATATATATATATATATATATATATATATATATATATACCTTTTAATTAACACCTTAAGTATTGATAATACCATATAAAAATATATCTAAAAAAACTCACTGTTCTTCTCTTTGGAGAGTTTCCTGCACAAAAAAAAGTTATATATACATGTATATATATATATATATATATATATATAAATATATATATATATATACATGTATATATATATATACATATATATATATATACATATATATATATATATATATATATATATATATATATATATATATATATATATATATATATATATATATATATACATATATACATATATACATATATATATATATTAATATATATATATATATATATATATATATATATATATATATATATATATATATATATATATATATATATATATATATATATATATATATATATATATATATATATATATATATATATATATATATATATATATATGAAGAGCTCATTTTCAAAATGCTGTAAATCCATTTTTTTGGTTTTGAGTAAATCGAACTTTTCTCCAGCATAAAGAAATTAAGTATTTTGGAATAAGTTATTATTGATTTAGTTAAACATGTACTTTATTAATAAGACTACAATATAAGCTGAAATCAAACTTTATGAAATCAATGTATCAATGTATATTTTCAGTGGGTATTTTTGTTTTGCTTCAAAACGCTGTATACCCAAGTATTATTTATTAATAAAATACTTTATATCCATTTCATTAATAAAATATATTTATTAATGAAACATTATTTTGTTATGCATTCTAAGATCTACCTTCAAATCTTGTTCTCCTTTGATATAAATCAGCAACTTTTTTTAAACAATTCACAACTATAAAAATATATAAGGTGTCAATGACTATTGCATTCTTGTATTCAATAACATAAATTAAAAAAACAACAAAATAAATCATGTTATGCTGGAGATAAACCATGTTATGCTGGAGATAAATCGTGTCATGCTGGAGATAAATCATATTATGCTGGAGATTTTTCAAAATATTTGTATCTTAACTAAAACATGTTTACAAAATTCACAGCTAAAAAACATTTAAATCAAGTTATGAACTATCTTCTTCACTAAGGTTAGTATCATCTTCAGTAGAATTACAGAGTAATGTTGTATACATAGTAAATATTCTACCTTCTACTCCTACAAGACCAAGAAGACAAAAAATATCGTCTTTCTTAGCAAACTTAACACAGTTATTTAATTCCAAACGTTGTGGTCTAAATGTTTCCCATTTCTTTCCTTTCTTAAGGGTACTGTGTAATTTTGGCTCAGAATGGTAACTAAATGCAACTACTTCTAGCTTGTCTGAATTAGACAACAAGTTTTCCATTGCCCATAAACATTCAAAATCAGTAAAGCAAAAAAACAATTTTTTTTGCTTCACTGATTTTAAATGTTTATGGGCAGGATTGGATAGTCGAGTGCTGTCCATTCCTACTCATAAACCATGACTTTCCATGCCAGCTAAGTATGTGTATGTATTCATTAGGCTCAAAAATTTGGTCTTATTTTTTAATATCTAGCTGAACTTGACCAAACACACAATCAGCTGGCAGATATGAGTGACCTTGTTCCGGAAAAGTACGTGTAATCTGCAGTTTATTAAAATATTGTTTTCTTAGAGCAAAAAGCATACATGTCATATTTATGTTTTTGTTGTGGCAAAGTAACGAGGCGTTAAAACATTTATCTTTTAAAATATTTTTAAGTAGATGTTTGATAGCTGAACAGATCATATTTGAATCTTTCCTATTCTCACACTCCATCCAAGTAAAAAGACTTATCACCTTTAACACCAAGGACATAAAAATAAAGCTGCCTAGAATAGTAGGCTTCTCTAATTGATAATTTTGGTAGTACAAGGTTCTCCATCATGTCAAAACAAATAGTGATCTGATTGGGATGAATATCATTGAGAAGACTATAAAATTTTCTGGCTTTCCTTCGATGAAGAATGAAAAGAGCAGTTTTTAATTTTTTTTGGTCATCAGTAATACTTTTGTTTTTTATAGTTAACTTATATGTTTGTAGAGCATGTAGAGCATGTATCTGTTGCTGGGTATCCAAAAGCTAAATTGAAATGGTTCCTAAATACCCCATAATAATAATGGTAACCTACAGTATAAATATTGTTTTTATCCAAAAAATGTTCGTACATCGGCTTTACATTCAAATCAGAGGGCAAATATTTGTCCTGGAGCACCTTTTCTTCCATAATGACTAGCTCTGCAAGTAAAAGACTGAATATGGTTTTTAATAGCTTCTTTCTTTTCAGAAAAAGCTACTTTCTTCCTGTCTCCTTTATTTTCAGGTCTGGTTGTTCCATGTTCATACCAGTGTCTTGCAATTCTTAAAACTCTATCAGGTTTTATGGCTGGAATAAATTAATAAAATATTAACTTTTTCTCACTAATTTTTTTTTTTAATAAAATATACATTCTTTTTCTGAATTAAAAGTAAAGTAATTTTATACTTACACAATACTGAACAAAATGAAGCTTGGCAAACTCGTACTTTAATTACCTTGCAGCATAAAAAGTAATCAAAACTCATAGTTCTTAACTTTTTTCGATTATTATATTTCACTCTGACTCTTTTTACATTGATTATATTAAACATTGACAGTATAGTAGCATCTTGTGATACTTTACTTGCAATACTATAGAATTCTGTATGATGTTTAAACAAATTATCCTGTGTTATATCTCGAGCCTGAAATAAGTCAATCAATAAATGATTATTTTGCCATAAACTGAAACTATGCCAAGTAATCTTACATTGTGTATATAAAAACTTAAAACTTATAACTGAAGTATAAATTTCAATAAACGAAGATCCAAAAAAACTCACTTTGCAGTAACCTGAAACATGATTACATGATATAGAAAGAATTTTTCCTCCACTTGAATGTCTAAATAACTTTTTTTTCTATCTTGCAAAACATTGTTTTTTTCTTTTTTGTGATTTTAGCATTAACACAACACTTTCACACTTTCATCTAAGCCATCCAAATCAGCCATCTTTATTATTATTATTTAAATATGCTTATTGCGCTTGCGTGGAGTTAACTTAATATAAGCACGGATTGGTCAAAAAAATATACAGCACATTGAATATAAACTAAAAAAATTATACCGCATTTTGAAAATAAATTATTTTTAGAGCCTAAATTAAAAAAAAAAATTATGCCTAATTAATTAGTTACAAACATGACTTGAAAGGATTAAATATATAGATATATGCATATATAACAAAATATATATATATATATATATATATATATATATATATCTATACACACACATATATATACATATATATATATATATATATATATATATATATATATATATATATATATATATATATATATATATATATATATATATATATATATATATATATATATATATATATTATATATATACACACACATATATATACATATATATATATATATATATATATATATATATATATATATATATATATATATATATATATATATATATATATATATATATATATATATATATATATATATATATATATATATATATATATAAATATATATATATATATTATATATATATATTATATATATATATATATATATATATATATTATATATATATATATATATATATATATATATATATATATATATATATATATATATATATATATATATATATTGGTACCTCGGAGGGATACAACACTATGTCCATTTTTTTCCATATTGACTTTATTACAGAGTTAAAATCAGCTTTTCTCATATTTCTTAGAGGAATAGAGCACTATGTCCAAAACCAGTTAGAACCGGATACAGCATGTTTTAAAACAACACCAAGTCCACTTTCATTTAGAGGGATAGAACAAAAAAAAGTTTAAAACTCCTCTCCTGTAAAGTTGTGAAAATGGACATAGTGTTGTATCCCTCTGAGGTACAGATATATATATATATATATATATATATATATATATATATATATATATATATATATATATATATATATATATATATGTATATATATATATGTATATATATATATGTATATATATATATATAATTTTAATACAATAATATAAGAAAACAAAATATATCAAAGAAATTAATTTATTATGGGCATCTAATAAAATTTTGAACTTTTGCTTCAGCGGTACCTATAAGCTTGGACACAGAACAACAATCAACACTATTGGATGCTTTTTTAAATGACATTTTCAAATCTTAAATGTTTCTGCATAGTTTTTTATTTTTATTTTTTGTTTAATGATTGCCCAGTACTTTTCAATAACTTTAAATTCTGGGCAGTTAAGAGGATTTGTAGTTTATGCACAACTTTTGCAACATTTTGTTTGTTTCCATAGCCATTCCATAGCCATTCCATAGCCATTTCATAGCAAGTTCACTATAATGACTTAAAGCTATGGCGACCATAGCTTTAAGTACATTTCATCACCATAGGTGATGAAATGTACTTAAACTTACAAAAAATTAAAAATAACATTCAAAAAATGATATTCCTCAAATGTGATTAATAAAAATTAATAATCGAGCAGAAAATTTTCACTCAAAAACTCAAAACTTAAACTTGTTACAATTTTATAGTTTACAAATTGAAATTTTTTTACAATAATGCAGAAGCAGTAAAACTGTTTTTTAAATTGAGAGTTAAACACTAAGAAACAACAAAATACTCAAAATAGTTAACATTTCAACATTCCTTATTTGACTAATTGGATTGATTGTAGAAAACTTTTTTTTAATGAAAAGAAAACAATTTAATAAAAAACTAGTAATATATATATTCTGATACCACAAAAATGTTTTTAGCCATTTGTAGCTATGAAAATAGCTGTTTTAAAAATTGAGATAATATCAGATAATTGTTTTCAATTGTCAAATGTGAAATTTTTTATTATATACATACTTATTAATATAATTATTAATAAGTACTTTTCTTTTTTAGTGAAGTTCGCAGTGACTTAGTTCGCAGTGTACAATCATAAAAAACTTTAAAAACAGCTATCTACCAAATCAGCTAGAGCACTAAAATCTGGCAGGGCTAAAAATATTTTCTGAACAAGATAATATTTAAATTTATCAAGTCTAAATCTTGTGTTGTCATTGGAAAATTTAGCCATAAAGTCAAATCACATCAAAGATACACACAATAAGTAAAACAGTTCAAAGGATTTTATATAAGCATGGAATCAAGTCATGCAAAAATCAAAGAAAATTGTTGTTGAGAGTCACCAATCAGTGATGCAAAGAGCAACTTAGCTAGACAGTTAAGGATTGAAGCCAAGTTATTTTTAGTAACTAAAAAAGTTCTTAAGTGTTCACCTTCAATTCAAAGGTTTTAGTAAAAAGATTGAAAAACAAAAAGTATGAAATGCAAACATGTGTACAAAGAATATGGCAGTGACAGATTAGTAGTAACTAAGGAATGGATTTTCAATAAAAGTAAAGGTTCAACCACCAAGTGTCATGACATAATAAACCATAAATTAAAAAAAAAAAACTAACAATACAATAAAGAAACATCTTTAAAAGACAATAAAGAAAATAAAGAAACATCTTTAAAAGCATCTTCTTTTATGAAGTTATTGACAATTTTTTTTTTTTATAGTTTCTTTAGTTTTAACTTAGACATTTAATGGATTACTTTTATAGAATTTCTGTCACCCCTGAAAATAAATCTTTTGATATTTCCTAGCAACTGGATGAAATTCAAAATTTGACTAATCATTTAAAAGAAATACGAAGAAATGCTGATGCTTACCATAACAATTGGTATAAAATTGCTCTTGCATTGGCTAAAACATTTGATATTGATGGAAAAAAACCTAGAACATGTGGTGTTCAAAAGCATATAGATGATTAAATATGTGATACTGTATCTGATAGTTTAAAGTTTCTATTACATTGCCTCTTCTTAATCATCTTCCTAATGAACTAGAAAATAGGTTTGATATTGAGAACTTAATTGTTTATAATGGTCTTTGTGCTATTCCTGCTAGTTTAATAAAGTAAATTTTTAGATATTGACCATGGAAAAAAAAGTTCCTGATATTTTTGAATTTTTGTAAATCTGATCTTCCTCATTTCTCATCAATTAATGCTGAATTAGAGTTATGGGTGGAAATTTTGGAATGAAAAGACAGAATTACCATCTACTATTTCAGATACATTTAAGTTTAGGGATATAAGAGGCTTTCTAAACATTTTAGAGGCATTTCATATACTTGCTACAATACCAATCACAACTTGTTAGTGTGAAAGGTCAATATCTACTCTCAGGAGAATCAAAACTTACATGAGAGTACTATGTCAGAAATAAGATTGAATGGACTTACTTTAATGACTATTTAATGTTATTGAAATATTTGCATCCAAAGGAGATAAAAAATTAAAGTTTTTATTCAAATAAAAATTTTGAATTTCTGAGTTTCTGAATTTTTCTGAATTTCTTTTAACTCCTAATGTTGAAAGTGTTTTCATGTGATTTAAGTTGTTACTTTTTTGATTGTTGCTTTATTTGTTGTATTATATTTTGACTTGTTTATTTATTTATTAAAATTTATTTAAAAAAAAATGTAAAAAAATTTTTTTAAATGTTTTAAAAATATTTGTACATAACTGCCTATCAAAAAAAAAAAAAAAACCCAGAAATAGTGGGCTAACCTTAGGCAACACGGCAGTTTACTGATGGAGTGCAAAGTCCTATGGCTTACCTTCTCGTTGGTGCACTTCGTTAAGTGATTTAGACAAGTACTATGTCTAATCTATGAACTAAATAGCCAAGGCAATATTTTGAATAACTTTATTATTAAATGGATAACTAAAAACAATACAAAATAAAGTTTACTACGATTGACTTGATTGTTTAGAATAACTTTGCATTAGCAGAATATTGTCAAACAAACACGAAGTAAATAGATTTCAATTACAAGTAAAAAGTGAAATATCTGGTTTACAAGTCGACTCTTCATATATAGCATTTTTTTACCTATAATGCTTTTTAATATTTTATTTAATAATGATTTTATAAATGTATGCGTTTTTGAATTACACAATTGTTTAGAGAGTTTATTTCTAACGAGAAATATCAAAATTAAGTGTTTTTTTTATTCAAACAGAGAGCTATTTCTACTGAATAAGATTAAAATATGATATAATTTTTGTAAGTCTATGTATATAATATGAATGATCTCTTATTAATTTTTTTGATTGATTCCTTATATAAATATTCGTCGGAGACGAATTCGTCGCTCATTTCGTCTACAACAAAACAACAAGGTTTTTAGCCTCAAGCGTGAAAACTATTATACTTATTGTAATAATGGCGCTCTCAGATTATTAAATCTAAAGTAGTTAAGTAAAGTAGGTTAGTCTCCCTACGAATAATAGTTTAAAAAAATAATACATATTGAGTCCGTAGGATTACTTCATCGGTCCTTCCCACAGAAAAAAATAAAAGTAAAGTAATTTATCTTAAAAGGGGAGGAGGGAATAGGGTAATGTCATCCCCTCTTCCTCCACTGGCCAATATCGAATTGTATTTGGCAATTTTAAATATAGTTGACAAATTTTGACATTTTAAAGTCGGCAAATGTAAAAAATTTAAATTTTAACCTTTTTTTTTTGTTGTTTATTGTTTTTGGCACAACCCCCCCCCCCAATTACTCAATTAAAAAAAAAAAAAAATTAGGTGTTCGCACTGTCCACGAACCCGGACTTGGCCACACAGTTACAAATTCCTGGATCCGCGCCTGCTTGAAATAGAAAAAAACGTGGTATCTAATTTTTTATTAAGTTTTTGACGATGTTTTTTGATTTATTGACGATAATTTTTTCCCTCATTACCGCACATCGGCGCGAGCTATAAAAGAGAGGGGGGGGGGGGGGGAGAGAGCAAAAAAAATTTTTTTTTTTTGCTCTTTTGCGATTAGATTTTTTTGCGTTAATTCGAGCCCTGTCTTAGTTTAATTTTTAATAAAATGTCTATTCAACCTTATCAATTTGAACTAAAAAAATATAGCAATTTAACATAAATGTTAATTTAACTAAAACATTTTACAATAATTATTTTTTTTATCAAGCAAAAATGAGACCGTCACTTTTGAAACCATAAAAATTACCAAAAAAAATTTATTTTTCTACTAAGGAAATATTTTAAATAAACTTTCATGTGTCTAAGTCAATATTCATTTGTTTTTAACTGACTAAAAAGAGTTTAAAATTTGACTTCTATTCATTTTTAGCCGTGGAATTGCCCTTATAACACAAATATATAAACTAATATTATAAAAAAAAACTTTAATATACAAATATATTTTCACAAAATGCTACAAAACTTATTCTTGTAAGTAATTATGAGTTAGTTGAAAAAAAACGACTTTACTTTTAAATTTAATTACCAACTAATAAGTTTGCAATAATTACATTTTGTCTACTTTGTTTAATTTGACGTACAAACGTTAGTTTTTGGAGGCAATAAACTTTGGACAAGACGCTTTTTTTTTAATCGAAGAAAAGCGTTTTTTTGAAAATTAAATTTGTTAGTGTGGGTTCATTATTACGTTTTAGAAAAAATAATATACATCAAACATTTTTTTTTTATGCTCTTTCATATGAGATCATATCTTTATAGCACTTAGGGATCCCTTTAATACCACAGCCAGATGGCTCCACATTACTCCAAAGTAGTTATTTAGTTAAAATAGACACTTGAACAAAAAATTAGATACTACTACTACTACTACTACTACTACTACTACTACTACTACTACTACTACTACTACTACTACTACTACTACTACAACTACTTCTACTACTACTAGATACTATTACTACTAGTAATGTCAAAAAAGTAAAGGCAGGATCTTGAGCAACCATCGCAACTTAAAAAATCACAAAATAAATTATAAGTTCTTAGGCCACTGGGAACCATCTTCAAAATTTATCATGTATAAGGGATTCAAAAGACAAAAAAATTAACAAAAAACAAAAAATGGAAAACAAAACAAAAAAAAATTACAATGAACTATTTTTGTACTTATTTCCTAAAATAAATTTAATTGAACTTAAAATATGCTTTCGAATTTTTTTCAAAAAAAAACTAAATTTAAAAAAAGGAACTTATAAACAAAAGCCCATTTGTTTGTTTTAATAGGCAAAAATTAATATTTTTTCCTTCAACTTATTGCAAAATAATTAAAAAAAAAAACTTACTGCTCTCTGAGGCTCAGTTTCTTTTTTAACAGGTTGTGCATTTTTTTCAGGATCTAAAAAATAAAAAATATGAAACCTTAATATTACATAATTTTCACAAATATACAAAATATTTTAATTATTATAAATAGGTGTTAAATATTTATTAAACTAAATTTACATTAAATTAACATGTTAACATAAGAAGATAAGAAAAGCTAGATTTGCATTAACAATTACAAACAGGGAATATCAATACCAAAATAACCGGGTAATAAAGCAAGCAGAAAAAAAGTTAAATTTCTTTCAATTAAAATGCTTTAAGATGCTTTTAAAGAATATATCAAATAATTTGTGCTCAAATGTTTTTAAAATAAGTTTCTGTCAATTTGAATTTGTAATGATAGCTCATTCAGAATATTTTAAAACAATTCATATACTAAAGCATTTAATCTCAAACAATACAGCTTTTCATTTTTTAGTTAAGACACAGTTTTTAGAAAATAAAGAGAACAATTAAAAACAGAAAACAGCTAACAAATAAATTAAAAAGCTCCAAGTGATATAAATCAGTAAAACATGAAGAATGGGAAAAATTCCAACAACACGGTAGCATATATAAAAAAGAAAACAAGACAATCTTATTACAATGTAACAGTGGCACAAACTTAGCTGATAAAGCAGGTCCAACAGCATTTACAATAGTTTTTTGCAGCTTGTTTAAAATAGAAAGAGCTTCATTAGAAGTCCTAAATATTAGAACAGTATTCCATACATGGATGGATAAAAGATTTATAAAGGTAGACAATGACAAAGGTAGACAATGTAATCAGAAGTAGTAAAATCAGTAAGTAAAGTAAAAAACACCAAAAGCACTCGAGATTTATTGAACACATACCCCATTGATTGTTGAATATTTATTGAAAATAAACAGAAAACACAAAATATGGACATACAGCCTCATTCTTCTCGGTTGATATATATTATATAAAACTCAGTTATAGTGTTATCATTTAATTTCTGACTAAAGCATATTTATTTTGTTTTTTTTTGTATTCAAATATATATATAAATATATATTTATACTATTAACAAATATATTATATATAATATTTAATAAACATATGTAAACTAAATATTTTGGTTTGTCATTGAAAGATTTAAACAAATTAATACAAAATTAAATATAAAACAAATATTAAAACAAAATTCATTTAATAATATTAAAAAGACTATTGAAATTTTTTTTACATTTTACTTCATCTTTTTTTGCTTTGTTTTTCTTAGACGTTATTCTCTTTACAGTTTTTTCCTAAACAAGCAAAGTAATATAACTGACAATTTCAAAAAAGAGATTTTCTATGATTTAAAACAAAGAGTATTTACAAAAATTACAAATATAATTTTAGATACTCTTAAAAATTTCAAAAGCACAAAAAATTTATTTTATTTTATTGTAAAGCAAGAAAACATTAAAATAATGCATAAAATAAAATGCTACAAAAAAAAAAAAAAAAAAAAAACCATTTCTTTTTCAGCCTTTTCTTCTTCTTCGCTTGCATCACTTTGATAAAATCTTTTTTTAGTCTGTTTAAGTATATCAAATTTTTCAAGAAGTTCTCGAATTGAGCTTCGAACAAACCTTCCTTGACAAAATGGATGCTTAAAAACCAAAACAAAAAATTGAAACATAAGCAAATAAAAATGGTTAAATTAAAAAAAACAAAAACAAAAAACAATTACCTGTAAAAGTTTTTCTGCTGTTGGTCGTTTTTTAGGATTTTTGGTAAGCGCTAATTTTAGGAAATCTTTCATCGATGCTGACCTTGAAAAATTGCAAGAGAAAATATTGCCTTAAAATCCACATGAAACAAATAATAACTTCCAAAGATTTCTTTGCAGATATTTCTTTGAAAACACAAATAAAAACCATAAAGCAACTTTAATATGATGCATCTTACGGAAGCAGCAAATGATATTTTATAGCAAATGCAATCGAATTTCAAAATTTCAAAATTTTTTACCATTTATTTTTGTTTTTTAATGTTGGAGGCGAATAGTTTCTCTTTGATATTAAATACAATGCTCTAAAAATTAAAAGGTAACATATATATATATATATATATATATATATATATATATATATATATATATATATATATATATATATATATATATATATTATACAATACTTAGGACTTTAAAATATAAAAATTAATTATGCCATTAAAATACGGTAAGTATGGCTACCTAGAGATGTGACATATTTTTTTGTTCTTGTTATTTTGTTTTGTTTTTTTGTCAATTTTTTGGAAAAAAAAATGCAGGGTTCATTTTTTTTTGGGAAATATTTAAAAATTCATTATTTAAGCTAGTAAATTTAACTCAGGGATAACACAGTTTGAGCAGTCCTGTTTAAAAACTTCTTAGGTAATTTTATCATTCTTAATTGTATCTTAATTGGTTTTAGTGTTATATATTGATACAATAAACATTTTTTATTATATTAATATATATATATATATTTTTTATTATATTAATATATATATATATATATATATATATATATATATATATATATATATATATATATATATATATATATATATATATTAATATATATATATATATTTTTATTATATTAATATATATATATATATATATATATATATATATATATATATATCATATACATATATACATATCTATATATATACATACATATATATATATATATATATATATATATATATATATATATATATATATATATATATATATATATATATATATATATATAAATATATATATAAATATATATATATATATATATATATATATATATATATATATATATATATATATATATATATATATATATATATATATATATATATATATATATATATATATATATATATATATATATAAAACAAGGCTGTTGGGAGTTATTAGGAAAAAAAGAAAACGGTTGATAAAAGACTTGAATAGTTGGACCCACTCAGTTAGAGTGGGTTTAACTACATTTCCAACATTTTTTGACCTTGTCTAGAGAAGAAAGAGCGTCATTAAAAGAACCAGCCAAAATATGACAGAAGTATTCCATACAGGGACAAATTCCATACAGGAATTTGTAGAGGTAAAGAATGGAATCAGGAGTAATAAAATTGCAAGTATGATAAAGAGAAGCAACCTTAGCCGATGCTAATTTAGCAATCGATTGTATATACGGTTTACATGAAAGGTCAATAGTAAACGATAATCCAAGGTTGCTATTTATTGAATGTCAACAGTATTGCAATAGTTGTAAGATTGTAGACTTTAGATGTAAGTATATATTAGGGTGCCTTTAAGACATGTTATGTTATTATAAAAGCACCCATTAGGGTGCCTTAATAATAACATAACATCTAACTTTGTTTATAACATAACATCTGACTATGTTCATAACATTGTAACATAACATCTAACTTTGTTTATAACATAACATATAACTAAATAACATAACACCTATAATAACTAACATCTAACAACCCCACTTTGATAAAAAATCTCAGTTTTTTCATGTGCTGTGATTATCTTAAAAAGGATTAACACAAAAGATAACCACACTAAATTAAAAACACTGAGATGTGATTATTTTATCTAAATAGGTTTTAAGGTACCATAATATCTATACATGCACACATACATATAGAAAGAGAAAGAGAAAGAGTGAAAGGAAATCTTTAAATTGTTGAGTGACTTCTTATTGCTCTTCTTGTTGGTAATCAATCACGATTAAGCTCTCCATACAGAGGGCAGAAATAAAACCTTAGTTACCCATTTATTTAAACCTCTGAACCAAACTACCAAAATGAACCAAAATTTCAAAAATTCTCAAAGAAATAAATAATTAAATAAATAATCTTGATAGATTGCTTATTTCTTTGAAGCCTGAGGGTCATTCCATTTAAGATTTTCATATTTCAAAAATATTTAGATTCAATATTAGAAACAGATTTTTTAAATTAAATTAACAGACACATTAGTGCATCTAAATAAAATATCTTCACTTTGCCATTTATTTTTATGCATGTGTAAAAGATGTTTAAAATTTGGTACCTATTTTTAATATTTTATGATATAAAAAACGTGGATTTCTTAACATTTGTGTTAAAATTGTGTTGTGTTCAACATTTTTTTTTAAATTTTCAATTCTCATATTAAATATTAGTGATTAAATAAGTTTGGTAATAAGTGATATTATCTCAATTATTAGTTGGTATGTTACTTAAAAAAAAAACACCATAGTATGCAACAGGGGTTGATATTTGACCAGGGCCTGGGCCGGGTTTGATAAAATATAGCCGGGGCCGGGTTTGTAACCAGGGCTGCATAAACATTTATACATCCTAAAATATATATTTTTAATTCAAAATTAATGTTATATTTTGTATATGTGCATATAAAAACATCATTATGATCAACATGATCATCACAATCATCATAATCATCATTACCATCATCATCGTCATCATCATCATCTGATCATCTTCTCTTTTGGCAAATATTGCACTATATAAGTACTAAAGTTTGTATAAAAATGAAAGACTATTGTATGCCAGCATCTAAATAAATAGCAAACATATATGTCCATAATATGTATGCATAAAGCGCATCTCAGAAGTTTTTATTCCTTTTGGACTAAAAGTTTGGAAGCTTTTATTCTTACTCTTCAAGTCAAACCTCATTCTACTCTAGATTTTCCACCATCTTGAGCAGTTGCTTTATTGATTATTTATTTCATCTCTTTTACATAAACATCTCTCTTAAGAACAAATGCCCTTTTATTATTCTAAGAAGCCAACGTAAAAAAGTCCTGTATGATGTTAAGCTCTGTTTTTCTCAGTTTACTAAATCTTGTATCTATACCAGATGTTAATTTCTAGAGACATTTGGTTAGTCTTGAACTAAAGTAAATCTAACATCTTTAATTCATGGGTCTGGTCTTTTTATTTTTCCCCAGAATAAAGAAGAGTTATTTGTAAAGAAATCTTACTTTAATTTGACTTCTGAATATAATGGCCAATTAAAACAGTTTAACAGATTAACCCATATTTAAACATTAAAATCACTCTGGTTCCCAATGCTAATTTAATTCTCAATTAAAGACTTCTACAGTTTGTGATTCAGACAAGATTTCTATTATAGTCTTAAAAAAGTGTTCTCCAGAACTCTCTTTAATTTTTGCTAAATTTTTAAAAAGTGCTAAATAAGTGGTTTCAATTTTTAAAACCTCTAGAAAACGCTTTGACCTCTTCAACTATCTTACGATTAGTCTTCACTCTGTTATTAGTTTCTTTATATTAAGGTTTTGAGATTATCAAATTATTTCTTTTTAACTGCAGTATTTAAGTCATTCTTGAAAGCCTACACTCTTCTTTATTTCAAGTAACTTTAAGGGTACCACAAGGTTCTATCTTTGCTTCTGTATTGATTCTTATCTACAATATCGATCTTCATTAAAATTTTAGATCTAAAGTGGCTTTATTTGCTGTCACCTCAACTTTATACATTTGCCTTGACAAAAAGTCTTTACTTTTTCAATTGCTTAGAAAAAGCAGCCAATTTTTATTCTAATCTTTCTTCTGGAACAGCCTAAGGCTTGCAGTGGCTTATAGATTTATATTCTGGACTTAAAACTCACAGTTTTTGTAAGACAACAAAACTCATTCATTTATTGCAAAAAAATATTGCAATAATGTTGGCATTCCTATCCTGAAAAATAACAACCCTTTTACTCCCAGACAAAGTCTATAAGCACATTGTAAATTTAATTAGACCTGCTTTATCTGCCAAGCTTGAGCCACTCTTCCATTGTTGTAAGGTCGCATTTCTTTCTTTTTCAACAAATACCATCATAGTCAATGCTCAAACAAGCTATTATCTCTATTACGATAAACCAAAACTCTTGCTTGGCTTCTTATTCAACAAGTTGCATGCTTATGCTGTATCTGTTCCTTCATGCTATAAAAACTTTTATTAATCTAGTTTTTATCCTTGCATATCAAAAAAAACTTATAAATATTAGCCATCTTCATGTTTTTCTTTTATATACAACCTACAATTTTTCAAGCCTTCATTTAATCATTTCCTAGTATTTTTACTTATTCTCTATTTTAAAGTAATTTATAACTTAACCATGGTTGCTTACAATCTTGTTGAAAGTAAATTAAAGTTTGAAAATATATAAATATACAGCAGTGTTTAATAAAAAGTAAATCTAAGCATAATATTATAATATATAAAGTATTATAATTTTTTTTGTAGCCCTGGCTATCAACCCCTGCTAAATCATATAGGTTTGCCGGGGCGGGATTTGAAAAATATCTGGGACAGGGTCTCGGTCACTTACTATTTTCACCTATTACGATTATTATAACAAATTTAGTTTTTTTATAAAACCCAAAGTATTTCTTTTTTAATTAGAAAATATTTAGCAAAAGCATTTTAGCTGAAATTTATAAAATCCTTTTCTGGAATGAAAGTAAAATGCAATTTTTTTTTTTTTTTTAATTCAACCATATCAATAAAATTTACAAATTTCATTGTAAATTAATATAAATTGGTTAGGTGTCACTCATATAGTTAAAAACTAGTCAATGGAGTGACACCTAAAAAACATAAAAATTTCACAAAAAAATAAAAAAATAAATAGAAAATAAAACAAAAAAAAACAAACAAACAAACAAAAAAAACAAAAGGAAAAACTCAACATCTGTATATATAAATAAGAGAAAATTACAACAGCGTAAACACAGAGATCTTTAAAAAGATCAAGGCAGGGCCTGAGATAAGCGTTGGACATCGGACATTGTCCGGCACTTGTCTGGTAAAAAACCACATCTATTGATCATTTTGCCTGACATATTTTATGTGCATAAAATTTCTAATCATTTTAGTTGTTCCAAAATTATTAATAAATTAAGTATTGTATATAACTTTATTTTTTGAACTTTCAACTTTTTAGACAAAACAAAATTGAAGTTGAACACTAGGCTACGTTAATAAAATACACCATTTTTTTGAGTTTATTCATTTTTTA